ATGCACTCTAGTAGGAAATGGAATTTAACCTTGTCTTGATGCTTTTCGTTGTGATAGTCTTCATCTCACCACCTCTTGTTTTTCCCTGCTTTTTTTTTGTTTGCTTATTGTACTTACAAAAATAAGACAATAAAAACACATGCATTAATATATCATATCATTAGAGTATGCATTTATATATACTTTTGATAGACAATGTATCCGAGAATTGAAACCGAACCTTTCCAACCCCTGGTGTTGGATCATGATCTGGATTGGAACTTGGAATCAAAAATTCACCAATTAAGTTACATGCACGCACACAAGTACACAACAATGAATTATCAAAGATAGTTCGGACCATGTAAAAGCCTGAGTATGTGCTAATAATGGTAATCATGTTTCATGAATCTATCCACTAATGATAGTTTATCAGAAAAAAAAAAAAGACAAAAGGTATCAGTATGATGAATCTATCTACTAATGATAGTTCATCAGAAAAAAAGACACCAAGATAACTTGTTACTAAACCTGGTTGTATTTGGCAAGACGCTCTGATCTGCAAGGAGCTCCGGTCTTGATTTGTCCTTGTTCATATAACAACATTACCAAGAGACTCCATATCATGACATGATTTGGAGAAGATACAATGGGATATTTCTTGATATATGATGTTGGGTTTTTGACTTACGGTTGACAAACCGACAGATAAGTCAGCAATGAATGTGTCCTCAGTGTCTCCACTATGGTGGCTAGCCATCACTCCCCAACCAGCTCTCTTTGACATCTTAACTGCCTCGAGACTCTAGGTTACGGATCCAATTTGATTAATCTATTCACTCATTCACCAAGGAGTTATTAACAATATTTCAAAGGATTTCAAATTGACCAATACCAGTCAAGAATATCTTGTGTGTGAGGATGTTACCTTCAATAGAACAGCATTGCAAGACCTTTCATTGATTGCCTTCTCAACTCTCTGCATATATATAAGAGTGTTAGAGACATAAGCATGTTAAGTAAGAGAGATAAAGTTCTAGAGGAAACGATTGATTAACAATGGCATACCTTGGGGTTGGTGACCAGCAAATCATCACCGACGATTTGAACTTTCTCGCCACATTCAACGGTCATTTCAACATAGTTCTCCCAGTCATCTTGGTCAAATGGGTCTTCAATGGATACATTAGGGTACTCTGAAACGAATGACTTGTACAAGTCCTTGAGAGCATCTCCAGAGATCTTTTGAGAACCATCGTTGTTCTGCAAATTCACAAATAGAGCAGCGGATAGATATTGAAAGCAATGTTCTTGATTTCTTCTCAAAGAGGTTCATGATTTGTAAAGAGATTGCTTTACCTCTTCTTTGAAGTTCAAGTCGTATTTCTTGTCTGATGAGTAGAACTCAGACGCAGCGACATCCATTCAAATGACAACCTTGCCAGTGTATCCGGCCTTCTCAATGGCAGTCTTAAGCAGTTCTAGACCTTCTTTGTTCTCCTGAATGTTTGGTGCAAAGTCACCTTAATCCCCAACGTTTGTTGCATCCTGACCGTACTTAATCACAGACTGAACATAGACATAAGAAAAACAGGATGAATTAGTCACATACAAGAAACGTGAGAACTTTCATGTTAACACGACAAGAAATTTTCAGATAAAGGAGTAACGACAAGAGACCTATTATTTTGACTATACATTTTTAAATCATAAATTATCATAGTATGAGCATCTCAGAGACCAAAACAATTCATGATTTACCTTCAAGTTGTAAACTTACACACCCATTTTCATGGCTTCCTTGAAAGATGAAGCTCCAACAGGGAGAATCATGAACTCCTGCATTGCAAGCTTGTTTCCTGCATGAGATCCACCGTTGATTACATTGAAGGCAGGAACTGGGAGCACAATCTTTGGGTTACCAGCAAGATTAGAAATGTGTTGCAGCAAGATACAGAGCAAAGAAAAGAGTTGAGATGACTTTGTACCATAAAACAAAATGACAATGTTTACCTCCTTTGTGTTGTCGTATATAATATAAAACCTAATTGTCTACCTCCTTTGTGTTGTCGTTCTCCATCCCTTTTCTATGGACTTGTCTCCTCTTTCTAGATATGTGGCATTAGATTGGAAACACAAAATATTAGGTCATCCCAAAAAGAACACACAGCCGAAACATATATCGATCAAAGAGAGAAAATAAATATATAATTATCAACGAAAACATATCAGTCGAGATGGTGTTTTGCTTACTTGTTCATACAACTTTCGCGGGTAACCTAGGAATCGACCAATAGAAACCAGAATTCATAATTTGTTTTGGATATTAGTTTTATTAAAGAAAACAACCGACCAATAGAAACCAGAATACAAATAACAACATAATCTACAAACTAATAGAATTATAAGAAAACGATTAATGTAAAAGGTTACCTTATTCCTCCTTTTCATTGTTGAAGATGAAGATTTACTGAAAACAATAGAACACACGATTAGATATCTCAATTATTCTTTATTTCAGACAATCAAACATACGTACTATTTGAACAATAATCATCTCAACACGGCTAAACACAATTACTAAAAAGCTATATAAAAAAACCATAATATACGTAAACCATAATTACACAATTACGTAAAAAATATTCCATACGTACTATTTGCATATAAAAATATTTAATAGAACATAAAGAAACACAAACATTTAAATAGGTAAATAGATGTAAAATATACAAACCAAATCTATAGAAATACCTTTCCAAACCTCGTTATGTTCTCATCAACACCACCTTCGTCCGAAAGCTTTGTCGATGGAACCTCCCACGTTCTACAAATCTGAAACACATAGCAAAGGTAAAAAATCAGCAAAACAATAAATCAACGAATTCATGCAAAAAATAAAACAAACAACAAAAAACATGCACACGACCTTTAAAGGACCATGAAAACAATATATGCATGACAAACAATTCGATTCATCAGAATCGTAGTAGCTATATAAAAAAACCATAACGGTGAAACTATCTAATGAGCACAGGAAAAAAACAATACCTAATTCTCTGGCCGATAACTATATATATATAGCTTTAAAATTAGGGCAAACATCAATCATTATCTTAAGAAATCTAACTTTTTAATTAGAAACTAAATCAGAAAACTAACAAAAATGAATATTAACTACTAAGATATAGAATTATCCAAAAGATTAACAAATATATTGAACTTTTTAATTAGAAACAAAATCAGAAAACTAACAAAAACGAATTTTAACTGCTAAGTTATAGAATTATCCAAAAAATTAACAAATAAATTTAAGCTAAGATTCCATAATCATTAAAGTCGAGACATTATGACATCCGTATCCCCAACTATTACACTATAAAATAAAAAAATTTAAGGGTGATTAAGACTAATCATCACAAAACACGATTAGACTTATATACCCTTAACAATTAAGAACAAAAATTTTCGAATTGAGGGTGTTTAGGACATTATTATAGAGATCAACACACGATTAGACTTATATACCCCTAATTACGAAGAAGGAGAAATTTCGAGAAGAACAATTCATTAAGGGTGTTTAGGACAAATCATTCTAACTTTTAACCACAGGCCTCCAATGCCCTAACTTTCAATATGGTGCGTTTCTACTTCTCAAATAATTATTGTAGAGATTAAAACTCTTTTCAAGGGTGTGTTTTCGATTGAGTGTGTGAAATTCTGAAGCAACAATCATATGCTTTTTCAATCATTGATTATGAAATCTTTTGTGGAGATGTTGAGTTTATGTTGATTGTTGTTGAAAGCTAGGTTTTTATATTACATCTTTTGGTAAACTTTAAGAGTATTGATGTGTCAAGATATAGATGAATACCTTATCTCTTTGAAATCTCAAATCGCGATTCTGTGGCCATTAAGTTATTCTCTCTCCGTTTTACTATAAGTGTCGTTTTAACTTTTTAACATTTTTACAGATTTTATGAAAACATATTAAAATTCCTATTATACCCTTAAAACCTAGGTGATTCTTGATTTTTATGAGGTTAAATTAGGTATTTTATGTCAAATTTTGAAAATCTAAAACCCGCGAAACGGCATTTAGTTTGAAGTGGATAGAGTATGATATTTTTAACGACATTTGTAACATGAGCTTCCGATTTGTTAGAAGTCGAAGAAGAAGATTGAATCACCTTGTTGCATGTTTTTGGCTCTAGAAACGGTTTATCAACTATGAAATTGCAAAAGTTGAAACTCTTTTTTGATGTAATTTTATAAGTTTAACACAAACTTAAGTATTTATTTAGTCTTTGTTAAAAAAAAAAAAAAGTATTTATTTAGTCATTTTTAATTTTGTGTGGTAATGCAGCAACGACAACTATTAAAAAGTAAAAACAACTACACTACATATTTTATCAAATAGTATCTACAACATTACATTGATTCATTTTGATACATTTCCAAATGTTTCTAGATTTACCTTCTATAAATTGGATTTCTAAATAAATTGGCCACAATTGAGATTTGTATTTATGTATCTTTAGCTAAGAAATTATGGGAAAAGAACAAGTGAACAAATAATGTATCTCGATTGTCATTCCATCAAAATCTAGGTTCGAAAGTTGAACTGTCCCCAGTGTGTGAGAGCTATATGGTTAGTGTACCACTTTCCTTCATCTTCATGTAAGGTGTTGGGCTACTGGACTAGCCCGTTGTGATTTAGTTCAATTAACAATAAAAAAAGAATTTTTGTTAAAATATGTTTCTTGTATTTTAAAATTATTAATTTAATTACATTTTGGTTTTGTATGTTTAAGCCTAAAAAAGTGTCGGTTAGCAAATCTTAATCTCCATTTTTAAAAGATTTAGCATCCTTTTTTGCAAGAAATTTAAAAAAAAAAAAAAAAAAAAAAAAAAAAAGGAGAAAAATCCTCACCTTGAAGAAGAAAGGTCCAATGGAATAATTCAAAGGTGATTGAGGTAATAATCTTCTAGAGTAAGCCAAACCGAAAAAGTTGATATGTGTTTGTGGCTAGTTTAGTTTCTATTTTATTACAATTAACCAAATAAAATTGTTTCAGTTTAGCTAATCTCTACTTCCAGAATTTCAACGTGTGATCTTTTGGTTTTCAGTCGTTCGACCACATTTGATGTTTTTGATCATCACTGGTTCGACCACGTTATTTATAACTACGATAAAACTCGATTGCATCACCCTATTTATATGACAAATTAGTCAACCCTAAAATATCATTCATTGACCGAGTGCAAATTTTAGAGAAAGATAGTGCAAATCTTGCATAAAATAAATAGTACTAATATATAACAGATTATTAACAAGATAGTATACATAGTACCAGTGAGTAGTTAATAACTATACCGACTGAATAACATTGGAAACGTGACTTTTTAAAAACTGAATAGACATCTTCTTAATTCTCATCATGCTTTATACAACATTGGAAACGTTGGCTAACACAGATGTATATCAACACTTCAACCATGCAAAAAAGAAAATTATAATTATTTGCTTAGTAGCTTTGTCTGGCTAGTTATATGTATACATGATAAATCTCTTTCTCTTGCTTGTCAATGCATGCACTTCTATTAAAGATTTCGTGTCTTATATGTAAACATTAATTCTTTGCTTTAAAAAAACAAAAGTTCATTTAACTCTATATTGTCTATTAATTGGTATTCAAATTCATGTATGTTTAAGTTTAGTTTGTTAATTATACAAAAACATCGAGTATACATGAATTAATTAATTGTGTTATGTAAAATCTATGTACTCAAATTCCTTTATTTTTAGATACGCTTCTTCTAGACAAGTACAAAGTTCATCAATTCAATTAGATTAGTCTTCAGTTCTTATGGAATAGTAAGATTCAGTTAAACGAAAGAAAATAAATAAATATAACTAGTTAAAGGAAAACACCAAATTTATATATAGATGGACGGCTAAGATCACACCAAGAACCAATAATAAAGTATTTTACTATTTTTTTGATACCGATAAGACTGAAAATAGATCTCAGATATCTATATAAATAGATCCTACTACATTTTGCAACGAAACATGCAATAAAAGAAAAAAAACAAATTTGGTTCCTTTTTCTTCTTCAGACAAGTAAAATCTTTTTAGATTTCTATACACACATATTTTGCAGACAAAGGTTTGATCATGCTCTATTTACCTAAGAAGCTGTTCTTGTTCCTCTCGTGCATTGTGATGTTGTCAGTCAACTACAACAACAGTGCCTCCGTAACCGCAGCAAATAGCATCGGCTTGAACTACGGCCTCCTCGGAGACAACCTCCCCTCTCCGTCCAATGTTATCAACCTTTACAAGTCCATAGGCATTACTAAAATCCGAATCTTCGACCCGAACACTGAGGTTCTCAATGCCTTACGTGGTCACCGCGATATAGAAGTCACTGTTGGCGTTAAAGACCAAGACTTGGCTGCTCTTGCAGCAAGCGAAGAGGCTGTTAAGGGCTGGTTTGCGGCCAACATCGAGTCTTACTTAGCTGACGTCAACATCGCATTTATTACCATTGGTAACGAAGTCATCCCAGGACCAATCGGTCCTCAAGTGCTTCCGGTCATGCAGTCTCTCACCAACCTCGTCAAGTCGAGAAATCTTCCTATCTTGATAAGCACCGTGGTAGCTATGTCGAACCTCGAGCAGTCGTACCCACCTTCCGCGGGAATGTTCACCTCCCAGGCTCGGGAACAACTTGTCCCCGTACTGAAACTATTGTCACAAACAAGTACACCGATCCTTGTCAACATATACCCTTACTTCCCTTATGCGTCCGACCCAGTTAACATCCCTCTCAACTATGCCACCTTCAACACTGAGGCCATATTGGTCCAAGATGGACCATTGGGTTATTCAAACATGTTTGAAGCAATCTTTGATGCGTTCGTGTGGGCAATGGAGAAGGAAGGCGTTAAAGATTTACCAATGGTGGTGTCCGAGACAGGATGGCCATCCGCGGGGAATGGGAACTTTACCACGCCGGATATCGCGTCTACCTACAACAGAAATTTTGTGAGGCATATAGCAAGCGGAAAAGGAACGCCTAAAAGGCCTAACAAGGGCATCGATGGGTTTCTGTTCGCAACGTTCAATGAAAATCAAAAGCCGGTCGGGACTGAACAAAATTTTGGGTTGTACAATCCAAGTGATATGAAGCCAATCTACAAGCTATTTTAAGCGTGCAGTGAAAGTTGCTTAGACTTTCTCGATTCACTAATAATAATGATATATTAGCTGTTAGTGAATTAGTAAAAGATTAACAATGATACACATGTTATAAGCAACTGATGTCTACGAGATGAGATCTCGTAGCGAAACTTAATTGACTTTTGTAATAAATCTGATTATCTGAATGCAGTACTAATTTGAAAACCAATTTCTCTGGTTTATTAAACGAACGTACTCTGTTTCTTCGTATATCTAACACAAGAGTATGCCATATGCTTCGCATCGTCTTGTATATGCATTTTGTTTTGTATAGGAATGCATGTCCATAATAATTTTGTATTATGCACATCAGTGTCCCAAATTGATTCAAAAATCAATGGGTTTGTGTTAGTAGTACATAATTAAAACAAAGTGCGTTTGTGTTTGCTGTGTTTGTGGCTTAATTATTTTAGTTTCTCTTCGACTACCATAACCCATACACAATTGTTTCGGTTTAGTTAATCTCTATTTTCGAAAATCCAACGTGTGATCGCTTAGTTTTCGGTGGTTCGAAGACTTTAACATGGAAATTTTTTGGTCTTTTAGTTGTTCGACCACGTTATTTACTACCATAGTCCATAGCTAATAGTTCTTTGTTCAAAAAAAAAAAAAAAAAAAGTCCATAGGTAATAGTTATGTACTTATATATTAGTAAATCAAACAAAACTCAATTGTATCACTGTACGTATATTCATATGACAAATCAGTCAAACCTAAAATATCATTTATCGAACTCTTTTATTCATCAAGATACTATATATACCTAAAAATTAAAAAGAGTACCATTAACACATGAATACCCTAGACCCTAGTACGCTAGCGTTATATTTTTTTCCATATATATCAAATTATCAACACTTCAAACATCTTAAAAGAAAAGATTAATTATTTGCTTAGAGCTTTGTCTAGTTTTATATTGATACATCTCTTTTTCATGTCTGTCATTCCTAAAAAAAATCCAAGTTTTAGAAGGAAAAAATTTGTTCCAAAAAGATAGATTTTTAAGTTTTCTATTGCACTTTTTATAGTTAATGATGATGAAGTGTAAACTTTAAGTAAAATAATATTGGTTAATTAGAGTTAAATAAAATGTTAATCACAAAAATGATGCATTTATAATCAAATTTTAATTTGTTTTCTTAATATGTGTGAAAAGTTTAAATATTTAGATTAATTAGAAACAGAAGGAGTAATAAATTTGTGCACTTGTATTAAAATTAATGTATCAATTTAATAATCTACGTATATTGGTAGTCAGATTTATGTATGTTTAGTTTGTTAATTATACATGAATTTATTAGTTAAAAATGTATAAAATTTATGTATCAATTTACTTTACTGTAGTAATTTTTGAACTGAATTCATGTACTTTTTTTTTTTTTGCCTAGAAACAACGAAGATAAATTTAATTGGATACTTTTCTTCTAGACAACATAATTGGATTGGAATAGTAAGATTCAGTTAAACAAAAAAATAGTAAATAAAATATAACTAGATAAAAAAGAAAACACCAAATTTGTAAATAGATCGAGGGCTAAGATTATACCAAGAAGAACCAAAATAAAATAATTTACTATTTTATTGATACCAATATGACTGGAAATAGATCTAAGATTGTACCTATATATACAAACACATGCAACCAATATTTTGCAACGAAACATAATAACGAAAAACAAGTTTGGTTCCCTCTTCTTCTTCAGAGAAGTACGATTTTAATACATTTTTATACACATACTTATAGAAAAAAGTTTCATCATCATGTTCTATTCGACTAAGAAGCTATTCTTGTTCTTCTTCTTGTGCATTGTGCTGATTGTCAACTACAACAACAATGGTTTCGTAACCGCAGTAAATAGCATTGGCTTGAACTATGGTCTCCTCGGAGATAACCTCCCGTCTCCGTCCAATGTTATAAACCTTTACAAGTCCATAGACATTACTAAAATCCGAATCTTCGACCCGAACACTGAAGTTCTTAACGCTTTACGCGGCCACCGTGATATTGCAGTCACTGTAGGCGTTAGGGACCAGGACTTGGCTGCTCTTGCAGCTAGCGAAGAAGCTGTTAAGGGCTGGTTTGCGACCAACATCGAGCCTTACTTACCCGACGTCAACATCGCGTTCATTACTGTTGGTAATGAAGTCATCCCTGGACCAATTGGTTCTCAAGTGCTTCCCGTCATGCAGTCTCTCACCAACCTGGTCAGGTCAAGGAATCTTCCAATCTCGATAAGCACTGTGGTGGCTATGTGGAACCTCGAGCAATCGTACCCACCTTCCGCAGGAATGTTCACGTCTCAAGCGCGTGAACAACTTGTTCCCGTGCTGAAACTATTGTCTCAAACAAATACGCCCATTCTCGTAAATATTTACCCTTACTTCCCTTATGTGTCCGACCCAGCGAGCATCCCTCTCGACTATGCCACCTTCAATACTGAGGCCATCGTGGTACAAGATGGACCACTGGGCTATTCAAACATGTTTGATTCAATATTTGACGCTTTCGTGTGGGCAATGGAGAAGGAAGGCGTTAAAGATTTACCAATGGTGGTGTCCGAGACCGGATGGCCATCTGCTGGGAATGGAAACTTTACCACGCCGGATATCGCAGGTACCTACAACAGAAATTTTGTGAAACATATAACAAGCGGAAAAGGGACGCCCAAGAAGCCCAACAAGGGCATCGACGTGTTTTTGTTTGCAACATTTAATGAAAATCAGAAGCCGGCAGGGACTGAACAAAATTTTGGGTTGTACAATCCAAATGATATGAAGCCCATCTACAAGCTATTCTAAGTGTGAAAGTTTTTTGGACTTTCCCGATTCATCAACAATAATAGTTGGTAGTGATTAAAGTAAAACTAATTAACAGTACACATGCTAAGCAACTGGTGTCTATGATGAGATGAGATCTCGTAGCAGAACTTGGTTGACTTTTGTAATAAATCTGAATGTAGTAATTTAAAAACCAATTTCTATGGTTTAGTAAACATACTCTGTTTCTTCATCTATTAATAAAAGAGTATGTTTTGTGTATGCATTTTCAAAATAATTTCTTTTTATATTATACAAATCGGTGTTTTATCAAAATAAGTAAATTAGTGTCCGAAAATGATTCAACAATTCAAGGTTTTATGTTAGAATAAAATAATAAGTTAAAACTCTTCTTAACTTTTTGGAAATTCTAACATTCTTAACATTTCTGATAAAAAAAGATAGTTGAAGAAATGAAAAATGAAAAGGTTTCTCTTATGATTAAGACAGATGTTTTGATTCGTTAATATCCCTTCTATTTTAATCCCACTTATTCCATTGAACTATATATCACTCCACTAGTCAGGCAAACTATTTCCATTACATAAAAAAAAATGATGATGAATTTATAAATGTTGGTTGTTGTTTTTTAACATTAGAACCACAAAAAAAAAATTTGAGAGCAAGTCTGTCTCTGACCCGTCTTAATCCGATTCTTAGTCAAAATTTTGAATTCGTCAATCATTCTTCTTCTTCTTCCTCTGATTCCCCCAGAAAAACCCTAGCTCCATCTCCCATTTCCCCCCAAATCCCACGACCAATTTATGCTCGGGGGAGAATAATCAAAGGTCAATCTTCAAGGGAATCGAATCCTCGCATAGCCACAATCTCGATCGATCTCAATTTCTTCTGTGGAGGCTGAGAAAAATGTCATCGGAGATTGAGGTGGTGGAAGAAATCCAATCGAGTCCCAAGGAGAATGGGGAATCGAGTTCTAAAGGGATTGAAGAAGAGAGCTTGAAGAACGATGTGTATACTGCTGCCGCTTATGGTGATTTGGAGAAGCTTCATAGGTTGGTTGAGTTAGAGGGTTCCTCTGTTTCCGAGCCTGATGGTCTTGGCTACTATGCTCTTCAGTGGTCTGCCTTGAACAACCGCGTCGCCGTTGCCCAGTACCTTATCGAGGTTACATCGCCCAATCCTCTTTTTTGTTCTTCTATGTGTATATCCAATTGATTGTTTAACGAATTGTTTGTTGATGAGTATGGATGCTTTGTTTACTTCCTTATGTAGCTCATTTGTTGCCATTGTGTATACTAGATTTGGACTGTGGTTCTGAAGTTTCTATAACTGATATGTCTCGGTTCTGGTTTTCCAGCATGGTGGAGATGTAAACGCCACAGATCATACTGGACAGACTGCATTGCATTGGAGTGCTGTTCGTGGTGCGATACAAGTTGCAGAACTGTTACTTCAAGAGGGTGCAAGGGTAGATGCAACGGATATGTATGGCTATCAGGTTCAGCTCTTCTTTTAACTACTTTGTGTTTAGCGTCGATGTTATCCGCTGGATCCTATCAAATTTCCCTTCTTCTCTTGTTTAGTTCTCAATGGATGTGTGTTAATCGCCAATTTAAACTGCTTGTAGCCAACACATGTTGCCGCACAGTATGGCCAGACTGCTTTTCTTTGTCACGTTGTCTCAAAGTGGAATGCTGATCCTGACGTGCCAGATAATGATGGAAGAAGCCCCTTGCATTGGTACCTTCTTGAAACTGTTACTTATTAATTGATTTTAGGCTTGCACGCTTATTTCGAGAGTGAATAGTTGGTTTCATTGGTTTCCTTCTCAGATTGTTCATGTAGATTTAAATATCTTTTCGTACAATTTTGTTCTAGTTGCCAAATATACTGAGTGGATTAGAATTATTTTCTGTCAGTTATTTGCCTATGATAGTTCTCGAGTTTTTTGTTATGAAGATTTGTGAATACGTATTACTGTTTCCCATCTAAGGTTACAGAGGTTGTTTTCTTTCCCGTATTTCTTACTGAGAGTTCGTTACTGTTACATGGATTGTTCTACTGCATGGTTTTTAGATATCTTATGTTGACCTTTGGATTTTATCCTATTTTTTCAGTATCTATTCAGAAGACAGTTCTAATTTCGTCTTTCTATTCTTCTCATAATTTGAGAAATTCAGGGCTGCATATAAAGGATTTGCAGATTCCATTCGCCTACTTTTATTTCTAGATGCATATAGAGGACGACAAGACAAAGAAGGTGGTTACAAACATATTTTTTTGAAATCCTGTGTTTATTTTGTTAGATTAACTATACGTTTCTAACAGCTTCTCCATTATACTGATTCTGTTATCAGGTTGCACTCCTCTGCATTGGGCTGCCATCCGAGGTAATTTGGAGGCTTGCACTGTCTTGGTGCAGGCTGGAAAGAAAGAGGATTTGATGATTACTGACAAGACTGGGCTAACCCCTGCGCAACTTGCTGCTGAAAAGAATCACAGACAAGTTTCTTTTTTCCTTGTAGGTATCTGTTTTACTTGTTTGTTGTGTAGCAATCTGTAGTCACACTGTTTGATTTGATGCTTTCGTAGTGGTTGTACTGCTAGCAATAAATGGTAGTTGAATCATATTATTGGCCTAATTTTTGGCAGTTATGTGCATCTCATTTGACCTTTGCATACCTGGTGTAGTTAACTCTACTTGTAGCTATACTATGTTAGTTTCTCCAAGTCTGTAGAGTTTCTTATCCATTCAAAATGAGCAGCATTATGCTTAAATTATTGAGAAAATTGTGTTGATATTTGTCTGTATCTGTCTTATAAACGCTATTCTGCAGGGTAATGCTAGAAGCCTGCTTGAAAAGCGTTGTGATGGAAGCAGTCCCCTTGGAAGATTGTCAAAGTTGGGACTCGCTCCAGTTCTTTGGATCATGATCCTGCTGCTTCTGCTTGTATATACAAATTCTGTTGTTTTGGGTAGTTACCTTGGCCTTCTCAAATCTCCTTTGTGTGCATCATATCAAGTAACTCTTCTATGCATGCCCATAATTTTATGAACCCTTTGGCCATTGCAGCATCCAATCTGCCAAAGTTAACAACTGGGATTGGTGCGCTTGCATGGCTGGGATTCTTTCTTGCAACTGCAGGACTATTTTTGTTTTACCGCTGTAGCAGGTATATGCTCACCCTGTACTTCCTCGATTTTCTTTTCGTATATCTTCTAAAAGTAGCCATGTCTGCTTTCTGTTGTTATCTGATTATTAGTATAGTGTATCTTTGCTATGCATAAATTTCTTATATTTCACCTGGTGGTTGCAGATTAGGATTTTACATTATAGTATTTTAAGCCCGATTCTCTTCATGGTTTCATTCATTTCACCTAGCAATTGCAGATTGGGATTTGAAGGCCTTTACTTCTTTGCAGCTGTAGTTTGTATCACAAGAAGCTGGTTTTCTTATTGTTTTATATTGTAATTTTATTTTTTCTGCAGGAAGGATCCAGGTTACATCAGAATGAATATCCATGATCCGCAAACCATGAAAGATGATGTTAGTAGCTTTATCGGTTCTCAAAGTTTACGTTACATAATTGTCCATATTATCCAGTTCGGTATGATTTTGAGTCCTATTTTTTTTGTTCAAGTGTCTTACTGGTTTTCTTTCCCCTTTATAGGAACCGCTGTTAAAAATAGAGCTAAACAATCCCGCTTTGCTTGCTGGGAATTGGACACAGCTCTGTGCAACATGCAAGGTACCTGCTCAAATTCCCTTTAATGTCTTTCTTCAATCTTAATACCAAGTACTTAATCATCGATGCTCCATCTTGAAATTTACTTCTTTTGGTCCACTTTGTTTCATTTTATTCAGATTATCAGACCTCTTCGAGCTAAGCACTGTTCCACCTGTGATCGTTGTGTAGAGCAATTTGATCACCATTGTCCTTGGGTATCAAATTGTGTTGGAAAAGTAAGTACGGTTCCTGTCTTCCTTCTTTTGTTTTTGACATAGAAGTTGGCAAAATAGGGGTAGCCGCATCAGGCTTTTGTTTGATACTAACATTTCATATTACTGAATCTGCCTTCCTCTTCCTTGTCTCTTTTGGTGTGACCTAACTTACTGTTCTTTTCGAAAATGCTTAGTGGTATATTTGTGTTGCAAATTTTGGTATACAGATCAACAGAGATGCTTCTTGGTGTCACATCACCTCTTCTATTTATTTTGGTTGCTACTGGTTTGATTTCTTAGTCTTGCAGCTGGAGCATGATACAAGTACTTATCTGTGGATTGTCCTTGTTTTCCAACCGATTTTGCAGAAAAACAAGTGGGAATTTTTTCTTTTTCTTCTACTTGAAGTTCTAGCGATGCTGATAACTGGTGGCGTCACTCTTGCAAGTATGTTTGTAGTGGAAGATGCCCTTTAATCGTTATATGTAAATCTAGAGATAACTTTCGGACAAAAATGTAAATGGTGTATTATCTACTTGCAGGAGTCTTGAGTGACCCTTCAGCTCCATCTTCTTTTGGAGCATGGATGAGCCATGTCGCTAGTAATCATGTGGGTGCTTTATCCTTTCTGCTGGTGGAATTCTGCCTCTTCTTTTCTGTTGCCGTCTTAACAGTCATACAAGCGTCACAGGTGAGTCCTCATTCCTATTTCCTTATCTGCACATCTTTGTTCCTCTTGTGATCTAAATGGTACAAAGACTGTTCTTTCGTACTTCTCTTCCCCGGATTATTCATCTCTAGAATAACTCCAGAGCTAAAACTCACTAAGTAGACTAGATTATTCGATTTTCATGGCGGGGTGTTTTGCCTCATCCTGAAGATCCATTCTGTCCCATTTTTCCTTTACAGATATCAAGGAACATAACCACAAATGAAATGGCCAACGCCCTGCGGTACAGCTACCTAAGAGGTCCAGGTGGTCGCTTTAGGAATCCTTATGATCTCGGGTGCAGAAGAAACTGCTCGGATTTCTTAGTAAAAGGTTATAACGAAGATATTGAGTGTCATGAAGAAGACGCAACACAGAGACCAGAGGGTATTAGCATGATGCAGATGCAGCGGAATTCAAATCTTCAAAATGGCAATGGCCATGTAGCTATCGATGTTAACCCGATACAGAATTCACAGGCAGCACATGTTCATTCTTCCAACTGCAGCCATAGCCATAATAGTAAGTCAAAGAGTGACAATGTTCCTT